AAAAAAAAAAAAAAAAAAAAACCAAAAGATCAAAGGTGCCTGTAACGCCATTACTTTGCTGAAAGAGGAAATACTGATACTCCCTTGTGTTCCCTTGGGTGTTGTCTGGCCCTACCCTTTCGCTTTCTCTCTTTCCAGAATGTTTTGTTGGTCCCTGCTAGTTCCCAAGCCCCTCCAGTGGTGGGAAGCTCCACTTTTTACAGCCAGAATGACACACAGCAAGCACTCTATTAATTCTTTCTCTTTTTTACATTGTTTTTTTAATTTTGCAGAGCGGGGTGATGGAACCCAGGGCCTCATGCATGCCAGACAAGCGCTGTACCACTGAGCTACAGCCTGGCCCTACACTTTGTTCTGGGTGTACCACTGTTAGCAACACCTGGTACTGTGGGGGCAAGAAGCCTGGGTTAGCTTTACCCTCTATTCTGAAAGCTAAACAATGTTCTGCCTGTGACTAAAGCATGGTGAGGAGTCTGCGTGTTGCTCATCCCCGACTGTGTATGATCCACAGTTTAGATTTTTGCAAGTCAAGTGAATTCCGAGACACTAACAAATGAGATGACTTCAAAACTCGCTAAGGCAGATATTAGCAACAATCACCAAACCAATACCCTTCCCCTAAATAAGCAAACTCACAGACTTTCAGATCTGCTTCTTAACCACAGGCAAAAACAACCAGGAAGCTATTTCCCTGATATATTTGTTTATTTGCCAGGAAAATATTGATGTCCAGTTTTTAACAGATGCTATTTATATCAGAATCATAACAAAAGTGCCATCCATCTGCCTTGGCATCCGAAGAAAACATAATTCAACACAAGAGTAAAAATGTGTGCAGCCAAACAGAAATGGCACTGAAAGCAGAAATTATTGGAACTGGTTATCTCCGGGTTGGGAAGAGGGATTATCACTTGACTAAATTGGACAAAAACTGTAAGCAACACAAAAGATTCTGGCAGTTAAATCCAAATACTTGGGGGAAATCTCCTTCTCGTCTGTTCTGCTTTCAGACGGGTTCTGTTCTGTTCGATTTGGGGGGCACGCGTGCTATAAAGTCCCCCTAGAGTCCCATGTGTCTCCACGCGCACCTCAGTCATCTGCTGCCCATCTTCCTTTTGGACAGCAGAGCAAACAAGGGCTTTGGCATCAAGTAGCATGAGGCCAGGTTGGCTCTGCTATCTACTATGCAAACCTGCAAGTGAATTAACCTCCTGCTGACCCGGTTTCCTCATTTGCAAAATAGAATCACATCTCTCTTTAGAGCAGGTCTCCCTGCCTGGAATCGAGGTCCAGGTCCGTAGGCCTGCAGGGGGCGCGGAGAATATGCAGACGCTAAGACTGAATGCAAAATTGTGTATGAGATGATTCAACGAGAGAGCTTCTCATAGAGCAGGTGGCTCTATGAGAAATGGTTAAGATCTTTGCTCAAGGCTGGGGAATGGCCACGGCTCATGTCCCCAAGTACCTGGTATGCAGGTAAGAGTTTGTTATTCTTTAAATGTGTGTTTTCTGGGGGCTGGGAATGGAACCCACAGCCTGTGCATGCGAGGCAAGTGCTCTGCGACTGAGCTACATTTTATTTTGAGATATAGTCTTTCTAAATTGCCCAGGTTGGCCTCAAACTTGCCATCCTTCTGTCTCAGCCCCCTGAGTAGCTGGGATTACAACTGTGCAGTGCCTCTCTCGGCTAGCATTCGCTGTTTGGCAGCTGTTACTGTTCCCAGGTCCCAGGAGTGTACAGATGGATAAATCAAGACAGAGCACAGGGCAGAGAAACAGTTATAGCAGAAAGAGCTATGTGAGAGCTCAGGGGAGTAAAGGGAACTCACACAGAATGAACCAAAACTCAGTAGGAAAGCCCTGCAGGACAGGACAGCGGTATCAGGGGTGGCGAGACAGGGAGGTGACAGTGGCTTCGGCATCCTCAGTGCCCAGGCAGGGCTTGCCCAAGGCGAGCGCTCTATGAATCACTGCTAAGTAAATGAGCAACAACCCACGGACAGGACGACACCATTCATAATGCCCCCAGGGGGTGAACACTTTCAAAAGGTGTTCCTGGAAACTGTTACTATTCAGAAATTTTAAGTTTCAAATGCAATCATCCGTGCTGTCTCCCGGAAGAGCAAGGACAGAAAACCCACATTCTGACCCCCAACCATGGTCCTAGGCCCTTCCCGGCCTCCAGGGAAGGCCATGATAAGTTTTGCTTAGAAGTACTACTAGCAAAGCTTTATTTTTTTCTAAGAAATTAAAAGACCTTCTTTGCCTGGACCAGAAAGAAAAAAAAAAAGAAAAAGAAAAAATCCAGTTTCCTTTTTGAATTTTGCTTTTCCTTGAGTTGACAAGAAACTCACAGCTAGATCCCTAGCTCAATTCTGTTAGTCACTGTGGGCAATCTGAGTATTTACCTCTCTCCGAAGTTGTTTTCCTATTCTGCATTTTTCATGGTCCTGATTTCCGTTTCTATTTTACCGTATTGTAGGTTTCTTACAAGTTATCCCAAAGCCTAGGTGGGAGTTACGGAGTATATAAACATCAAAGAGCGGCAGAAAATGAGCCAAGGAGACAGGTTCCATTACCAGGATTCCTGGAGGAGAAGCCACATTCTATTATCGGTTTTGTAAAGTGCTGTGTCCCTGAAAAATGGGAATAGTAACCAGGCACAGAGCAGCATGCATGGGACCTCAGCACCCTAGGAGGCTGAATTTGAGCCAAGCTTGGGCAACTTAGCAGCTTTGCAAAACCCTGACTCAAAATTTAAAAATGTAAAAAGCTGGGCCAGCGATGGAGCTCAGTGGCACTGCTCCTACCTGGCAGGTACAAGATATTGAGTTTGATTCCTGGTACTGGAAAAATAAATAAATAAACAAACAAACAAACACATAACTTGGAAATATAGCTCAGTGTAAAGGCCCTGGATTCATTCCCCAATACTATCCCCCAAAATGGAATAGTGACTATACTTTTTCATAAAAAGGTTAAGAAGAATAAATAAAAACAGGTATGTAAGGCTCCAAACTGTCAACAGCATAGTATTCAGTAAGCAGAACCTGGTAGTCATGGTGATAATAGTAGTAGTAAAACAAGACAAATAGATGGAAAGAAAATAAATGACAAATGGCACCTGAAACAGATTAAAACAAAACAGTAGTGAGAGGGTCAAAACCAAGAGAAAGAAGTGGGGTGGGGGATTTAGCTCAGTGGTGCCACCGCCTGCCTCGCAAGCTCAAGGTCAAGAGTTTAATCCTGGTGCCAAAAAAAGAAAAGAGAGGAGAGGAGAGGAAGAAAGGAACGGGAAATTAAGGCCTTTCCTACTAGAAGTGGATCGTATTATGATCGGCATTCATAGAGTTTGCTCAAACTCTGCCCTTCCCTCTATACCAATTTTCCAAATGGTGAAGGTATCCTGGAGAACACTGTCCTGAAAGTGAATTAATATTCAAATACAGCACTAATTGCTTAAACCCAATAGATAAAATTGTGCAAGCCAAGATGCGGGGGTGTTTTTAGGTAAATATACAGTAAAGTTGTGGACTGTGAGTAACCTGTTCGTGAGTGTTCCATGGGACAAGCAAACATTTCTCATAAATTTTAACTTAATACACAAGCGATGTCTTGCAATAAGTGCAGTACGCGACACCAAATGTCACACGGTCACAGGTGAGCCAATGGTCTTCTCTCGTGCACTGCAGTATTGTGGGTGACCGGCTCCCAACAGCAAGAGCTTCAGGAGGAGATCTCTGCAGAGGAGGAAAAAAAAAGTGGAGGAACCCCTCACTTCAAATGAGATCAGGGAGCTGTGTAAAATGTGGGAAACAGTGCAAAATTCTATCAAAAAGCACCACCTACTTAAGGCCACAGCAGTGCAAGGGATGACTCTTATCTAAAGACAGTGCAATGTCACATTTCTGTGAAATCCTCAAAAGAAAGAGGAAGGGTCATTGGCTAGGTTCCTTGTTATAGCTGCACAAAAAGAAAAAGATTTCATTGACCCTTCCATTTGTGAGAGTGAAAATCTTCCTACACAATAACGCTCCCCTCTCTTGCCTCCCTCACACCAGCCCAAAGGGTTTTTTGTTTTGTTTGTTTTGTTTTGTTTGTTAGTTTTTGGTACCAGGGATCAAACTCAAGCCCTTATGCTTGCAAGGCAGGCAGCGGAACCACTTAGCCAAATCCCTGGCCCACAAAGGTTTTTAAAAGTAAGTGCAGGTTAGTGTATTTATTTTTCTTTATTATTTCATATTATATGATAGTATTGTAATCATCTTATATGACCGTTTTTTGGTTGTGGAATGAATCATCTGAGTGTCCACTACTTCTAAGAGGGAAATTCACTCTGGTATACAAGTGCGTTGGATGACAAGTGTGTATCCAAACAGAATTAGGCTCACAAACCAAGGTTTTACTATACTTTCCAAAAAGATCACTTGTGGTATTAAAGAAAGAAAGTGATTGTTGGCTTCTCTTGTTGCTGTTTCTCATTGACATTAAGTAGCTTACTTTTCAATCCTGACAGAGAAAGGAACTATCCAGGAAAACTACCTGCAACTCTAGGCTTCTCCTTCCTTTCTGCAGTCACTTTTGATACACACCTGTGAAGAAGCTTTACTAAAGCAACTGCCTTGTTAACGCCAGATCCCTGGGCTGGGCAGACACCGGGTTACTGAGTATCTCCGCGGAGCCGGGTCTGTCTGCAGGTGCTACTCAGCTGTGGGAATCCCAGCATGGAGGCTGCCTCAGAGACCTCTGTGCATAAGGAAGAAGTGGGTGGCTGGAAGGAGGCGGGAAAAAAAAAAGCAAGACAACGTGGAGATCAAAATGTAAAGTCTCAGGTAAGCCTTTCTTGACAAATATCACTAGCAAGCATAGAAATGAATGAAGAACAGAAAAGGAAAGCACAGATAACTAAAGCAGAACACCTGTCCTGAAAGACGCTTGCAGTAAGATTGGATGCGAGGTAAACATGTTCAGAGATCATCCCAGCCATACCTGACTCACTTTCAAATCCCCAGAATTTATCTGAATAAATGTTTTCAGTAGGGCTGGGGATTTAGCTCAGTGGCTCCACACCTGCCTCGCAAGTGCAAGATCCTGAGTTCGACCCCTAGTACTGAGGGAAAAAAATGTTTGCAGGATTGAAGGTAATAGATAAAAGAAAAAGATGAAGGAAGTGCTGTGTGTAAGAACAGAACTTATTTAAAGGATTTCTGAAAGTCTACCTGTTAAGGGGACATATACAACTTGAGAGATAGCACTGCTCTTCCCGAAGTCATTCTGGAAGGCAAAATTTTTCAGAAAAAGGAAAAAGGAGTAGAGGGGGTTGGTGACAACTGTCTTCAATAAGCCCGAAACCATAGAACAGTTCGCAAGGTGCTTCCAACAAAGTTTCTGACACGGGGATAGCTGTGCAGTAGCAGGAAGTAGTACGTAAAAGAGTAGAGACTTTTCTATGAGACGGAAGTGAGTTTGAATTCTGGCTTTGCAACTTGCCAGGTGTGCGACACTAGACAAGCCCGTCACCCCAGTAGCCTCCCAGTCCTCATCTGTAAGGTGGGGTTAGTGATATTCAACAGATTGCTGTGGGACACGGACAAGTATGGCGCACGAAATATTTAGTGAACTGGAGAGGTTTAAGGCACACGTTTCCTCTCTGCTCATCGTAGGAATTCTGGGAGGAGGAGGAAGATGTCATCATTTTCGATGTTGTTTATATTGTCGCTTTCCCAATTATCATTAAGCTCCATGGGACGAGGAAGGCACTAGACCCTGTAACCACAGAGCCCAACATGGATGCTCCAGAAACGTGCTGAGCAAACGAATCCCCACCCCTGAGTCCCTGGGGTGGGTTGCAGCACGGGGCCGCCTCCGGCTGTGAGACCCTCCAAGCAGCCTTGCCATCCCCCTGCTCTGCCCTTGGGCTCGCGCGCCGCCTCCCGGAACGCGCGGAGGGACCGTTCGCCGAGGCCATCACCGCCTTACCCCAGGCCCCGCTCCAGTCTCAGTCTCGCTCTGCCCACACCTGCGCGCGGACGCCAAGCCTTGGGCCTCAAGAGGCCCAGCCCATTTGGGTCTCCAGGACGCGGTTGCCCAAGCGACGAGCTCACTCCTCGATTGGAGAACAGGTCTCAAGCCCTGGCAAGAAGCGGATTTACCATTGGTCAAGTGAAGACAGCTGGCAGGAAAGAGGCGGAGCCAGGCCAGCGGTTCCGCCCCCGGAAGAAGCGGGAGCCGAGCAGCTGACGTCACGGTAGCGGTTTTTTGTTACGTGAGTTTTCGCGCGAGCTGAGTTCCGGCTCCAAAAAGCTCCTTGGGGCCCTGTGTCCTGGGCTAAGCCCTTCTCTGCAGAGAACTAAACGCAGCCAGCATGGTAGCTCATATCGGCACTCTGGGTGTCTGAGGCAGAAGAATCGCCAAGTTCAAATTCAGCGTTTGCAACGTAGCAAAACACTGTCGGAATGAAAATGGCCTAAGGATCTAGCTCAGTGCAGGTGTTCAGGGTTCAGGCCCCAGGACTGTGAGGAAAAACCTAAGAACTTAAACGTGCCCGCTGGGTGCTTGTTAGGACTGAATGGAATAATGTAAAGCCCGGCCACGGGCTGGGCCTTCCGTGAGCGCCCTAGCCGACGGCGATTCCCGCTTTCCCAGGCTGGCGCGTCTAATCGTGCCGCGTCTGTGTGCTCGAGGGGACAGCCCCGTGAAGACAGGAACCGTGTGCTTAGCTGGCCACTGTCCCCAGCACCCGCTGCCCGATACTGGCAAAATAAACACCACAGAGTCAGGGCCCAGCGGGAGCCCGACGAACGCTATCAGGGGTCGTAAGGGTCGTCACTGTCGCGGGCCCTCTGAGGAGCGAGACCCTTTGCCAGAGCCTGAGTAGTTGCGTGTCATCTTCACATCTGTCTTCTCTGAGGTTTTTGCTTCAGTGGCAGCCGTTCTCCCAGTGCTCTGGGAACTTCAGGGGGTCCTCGGCCCTTTTCAGGGGTTCCGCGTGGTCGAAACTAATTTCATAATAGTGCTAAAGCATTACTCGCCCTTTCGCTGCTATGCTCCCAGGGCTGTGTGGGGTGGTTTTACAGAAGTTCAATGTGGGGCCGGGGGTTTAGCTCAGTGGTTCCGCTGCCTGCCTTGAAAGCACAAGGGCCCGAGTTCGATCCCTGGTATCAACAAAACAAAACAAAGCAACACAAGTTCAGCGTGGGATTGCAATGGACTAAAGGCAAAACCAGATGAGGAACCAGCTATCTTAAGCCAAATGTTGAAGAGATTTGCAAAGATCTTTACAGTGATTTTTTTTTTTTTGCCTTGCGAAGTATAAATTTTCATTAAAATTGTATTCCTTTTGCCCAATCATTTGATTGTTTTCTAATATGAAAAATACAGATTGATATAATCTACATAAGCAAAAGGTCTTTGGCACCTTCAGTACTTTTTAAGGAAATAAAAGACTCCCGAGGGCCGAAAGTTTGACATGAGCTTAGATGATTCTCTGTGTGTTGTCATGGCCAACTATTAACTATTATTCTCTCTCTCCTTTGTCCCTCCAAACAAGCTGTAGTATCTCAAGTATTTTAGATTTGTTGTAGTTGTTTGACAAGGTCTCACTGTGTAGGCCAGGCTAGTCTTCAACCCGAAATCCTCCTGCTTCAGCCGCCCGAATGCTGGGATTGCAGGTGCGGGCCCCCACTCCTGGCTTGCGTCCAGCTAGTTCTTTTGGGCACAGAACCAGGAGCAGGCCTGCTGGGTCCCGGAATCCTGAACTTCACTGTGAGGCGCTGATAAATGGCTCCCCCTAGTGGCTGCCTCCTTCCACATCAGCGCTGTGCGCAGGTCCGGATTTCTCCACACCCTCACCAACACCCTTCAGGGTTTGGGCCTCGGAGTTTTTGTTTAGTGTGAACGGGTGCCTCGCGGTGGTTTAGGTTCTCATTTCCCCAAGGGCTGATAGAGCTGAGCATCTTTTCAGGCTCTTACTGGTTGTTTGGCTATCTTCTGTGGAAATACCTATCCAAGTCCATTGCCCATTTTTCAGTTGGGTTCTTTGCCTTTTGTGGAATCACAGGCATTTCTCTGCACACTCTGGATATGAAACCTGTATCAATTTCGTCGGTTGTAAACATTTTCCCCCGCTCTTTTCACTCTTGAAAGTCCTACAGTAATTTTGAAAATTTCCTTTTCTAATTCGGTTGCTGTAACAGGAGCGTGATTGATCCTGTATATATTGACTGTATATCCAGTCACTGATAGTTTTATTTATTTCAATTCTAATAACAATAAGCTTCTGTGGTTTTGATTTGCCCAATCTTGTCCTTTGCAAACCCTTTTTAAATTTTATAATACTGACGTTTTCATTCTTGTCCTGATTGCGCCGAGGTCTCCAGCACAGTGTGGAACAGTGGGGAGAACACACACGCTTGTCTGTTCCCCACACTTGCAGTATTGCACCATGTAGCACACGAGTGACTGAAAAATATGGTGAATGTTTAAAAATACCGCGTCTTGTTTCATTCATCCCATCCTTCTTGCCACTTTTGGGAGTTCTGAAGTCCTCTCTCGTGAGCATCTTCATTTACAAGGTATGATTAAAAATGCAGCAAATGCTGATGCTGAGGGAGGGTCTTTTAACAGAAAGGCAGGCTCGTCACAACGTGTCACTGTGTCCTCATCCACCTTATGCCCTGGATCTGGCACCGTGTGACATCTGGCTCTCTCCTGAAGTCAAGATGACCACGGAAAGGAAATATTCCGAGTTGATCCGGGACATTTATGTAGCCGTGGACGTGTAACTAAAGGGGGCCGGGGATGTAGCTCAGTGGTGCCGCACCTGCCTCACAAGTGCAAAGTTCTGAGTTTGATCCCCAGTACTGGAAAAAAAAAAAAAAGTAACAAAGATGCTCATGAGAGAGGAGCTCCAGAACTACTTCAGAAAGTGGCACGGACAAAGGGACGAGAGTGTTTGAAGCAAAGGGAAATATGTTGTGAATTGATTAATGGTATTGTCTTTTACTTTAATAATTTTTAAAAATTGAAATACACCATATTGGTGGGTGTGTTGGCACGTGCTGTAATCTCAGCACTCGAGAGATTAAAGCAAAAGGATTGTCATAAATACATAAAACAAAGCAACTGTATTTTCTGTCACAGCTTGGGCACTATTTCCTTTGAGGATTTGGGGTTTTGTTTTTGTTTTTTATAGATCTCTGCCTGCAGGCTAAAGAAGTTTCCTTCTAGTCCTAGTTCACATATAATTTTTATTTTTCAGAAATGTTTAATTCTACCGATTTCTGTATTAAGGTTATTCTGATCTCACAGAATACATTTGGGAGTGTTTCCGTGTCTTTTCTTCCTCGGAATGTATGTAATATTTGTATTCAAATGTGTTTTCTTTAAATGTTTGAAAAACCTGATGAAGACATTTGGTCCTGGAGTTTTCTTCGCAGGAGGTTTTTAATTATTGGCTCGATTTGTGTGTTATGTGACTGCTCAGATTTTATATTTTTTCCTGTTTAAATTTTGTTTTGTTTTGTTTTTGGTACCGGGGTTCGAACTCAGGTCCTTGAGCATGTGAAGCAGGCGGCGGAACCACTGGGCTAAAACCCCGGCTCTTGTGTCAATTTTGGTAAGCTGAGTGTTACGGCTCGTGTCCAGATGTCCCCCAAAGCCTCGTGCGGTCACAGGCGAGGCTTTTTCAGAGGTGGCTGGATCTAGAGTGCGTGAGGCTGGAATTGATTCAGGACGCAGTGGTAAGATTAGCGCACTAGATCGGGGGTGTGACTGTACCAGCCCTGAGTAGCCTGGATAAGATATAAAAGTCAGAGAGAGCTACAGTCCAACCTTGTGGCTTTGCTACGTTCTGCCCGCCCTGAGCTGTTTCTCCTCTGTGGTGGCCCTCTGCCGGGCCACCCTAACTCGAAACCAGCCTACTGTGGACTGAAACCTCTAAAAACTCTGAGCTAAATAAATGTTTTCCCCTTTAACTTGGGGTGTTGGGTGTTTTGTCACAGCGACAAGAGAAAAGTGACGGAGACACTGAGCTTTCCGGAGGCTTTGTTTCATCTTAGGTGTCACACGTATGGACATAATGTTGTTTTTCATATCTTTCCAGTTGTTGTCAACTGAAGCAGCGGGGGTGACCAGCTCTCCTGTTTTCCAGGAAATGGAAGGTTCCCTGGGCTGTAAGTCCTTCGGGGCTAAACCCAGGACGAGTCCGGGCAAACCAAGTCCCCACTGTTGGATCCGTAGTGATATCTTTTCTTTCCTTCCTGTGAATGCTTTATCAGTTTTATTAGATTCTTTGAAACATTGATTTTTTTCAGATACAGCTCTGACTCGTTTTCACATCAATGACTGCTGCTATCATTTCCCTCTTGGTTTCTTTTGGGCATCATTCCCCACTCTCTTCCTAGCATAATGACATGAATATTGAAATAAGTGGCTTTTCGGCTTCCTTCTTTTCTAAGATGTGTTTAAGGCTACAATTCCCCCCTAGGCCTGATTGTAGCTGCGTTCCCTGAGTTCTAATATGACAGACTGGTTTTGAGCATTTTGTTCGACATATGAATTTCGACCGGAATGCCTTTTATGACCTACGGTTGTACAGAACTGTATTAATTTACAAACATTTGGGGAATTTCCCAGCTATGTTTTTGTTGCTGCCTTCTAGCTTAAGTCCGTTGTGGTCAAAAAACATGCAAATAAGATTTCAATCTGTTGAAATTTTTTGAAACTTACTTAATGACTCACCATCTGGTCAATTTTGGTAAATGTTTTATGTGCACTTGAAAATCGTGTGTGTTTTGCAGTTTTTTGTGAAGTGTTTTAAAAATCAGGTCATTTGTTCATTGTGTTGTTGAAATTTCCCTCTCTTAATTTTTTGTGCTTGGTGTTTGTTCTTTCAGTTTCCAAAAACAATGACGTCATACATTTTATTTAATGTGGGACCACTGACAAGGAATTAACTTTTTATTCATCTGAAAATGTGTTGATTCACCTTGCTTGCTAAAGGATATTTTTGCTTAGTATAAGATTCTAGGGGGCCAATTACTTTTGTCCAGCATTTTATTTTATTTTATTGAGACAAGATCTTGCTATGTAGCTCAGGCCTTGAACTTACCATGCATTCCAGGCTGGT